GCCAACAACCTAGCCCTTTCTTTACAGAGAAACTGTGGCCCCCATGGGGGAATGAAGAGGGTGCACAGTAGGGTTGGCAGGACCACAGCTCAGGTCTTTTGATTTTCCAACCAGTGCTCCTGGACATGGAGCAGGACATGGAGAGGTGTGTGGCCTCCTTTCCCCCCCACACCAAGGCCTCCTGTAGCAACCCTCAGCGTGTCTGTACAGAGGTGCAGGTGGAACCTCACATAGCCCCAGAAGGTATTTCTTTTGCCTTTGGCCAGTTATCTGGGACTACACGCAGCTAATTTCCCTCCCTAATTGTCTTTGGCACAGGACAGTGACACAGTGAGTCAGCGTTTCCCAAATAAATGAAAGGCCAGAGAAGGGGAAGGCTGCCAGCTGCGGAGAGTAGGGACTAGGGGGATGGGGGATGGTCTGCTAAGAAAGGATAGGATCATTGAAGTGGACAAAGGAACAGTGTCAGCACCCAGCCAATGTCCCAGGGGCACCCTGACATGGTGCCAGAGGAGGGGAGCAAGTCTGTGAACTTGGGACTAGACGGCGGCCCTCCTTGTGCTCTGTAAGCACAGGAAGTGGGGACGAAGGTCACGTGCTCACCCCTTTACTCGCTCATTCACTCACTCTCCTATCATGTCCTCAGTGCCCTGTGCAAGGCGAGACTCGGAGGTGAGGGGAAAGGAGGGACGTGAAGCTGTTTGCCCACAGCCCCTGTCTTCAGGGATCTCGCCACCTGGGCTGCACAGACGCATGGGAACTTACTATTGCAGACCAGCCTGTGGGCTGCAGTGTGCTGGGGAGGTCAACAAGGGGACTGGAACTGAGTGCCCAGGCTCCACTCCTGCTTCCACCACTTGGCTGTGTGATCTCAGGCTGGTTAAGTGCCCCAGTTCCTATCTGTTAAATGGGACAGGACTAGCACCTGCCTCATGGATAGTTTATTTTAAAGTGCTTGGACAGTTCTTGGTGCATAGCTCATATTATAAATTCTTTCTTGTTTTTATTAACAATGTTATTACAATATAATTATTTCAGTCACTCCCACTGCTTCCTTATTATGTGAGCTCTTGGAATTGGAGAATTATGACTTCCGGATTGTTACATCCAGTCTCATTCTCAGTTCTTAATCACAAATGATTGGAGACTTCCTGGAGGAGATGGAGTCCAGGCTGGGCTTTGGAGAGCGGGTGGGATTTGGGGAGGCAGAGAGGAGGGGTATTAGGAAGAGAGACTATCAGGAGCCTGTGAGCTTCTTTAGATGATCAGTGACCCACAGGAAGTGTAATTCCCACCAACAGAGATAACTGAGATAGAGCTGCAATCTAAGGGCTGCCTCCACAGGTACATGAAGCTGGATGAAGGGTCCAGGCACGAGGGTGACGGGAGTGACGGGAAGAACACGACACCCTCATCCTTTCCTATTATTCCCATGTGACGTTCTCAGCATGATGACTCTGGGGGTGGGGAGATGCCACTGGGGCTGGAGACAAAGGCAGGATAACCCAGGGTGTGTCCAGTGGCCTGAGCCCCAGCAGGGAGAGTTGAGGAGGAGACACATTGTTTCTTATAGGCTTCTGGGTGCTGGTGGACTTTAGATGACGGCCTCGTTGAGTCATGGCCCCAAAGTAGGTGATGAAACTAGATATCCTCTGTGTGTACCTCAGCTTCCTATAACTAGTATGGATGCCTCCTCCCTGCCCAGGTGATGGTGTGGATCCATGGAGGTGCATTCATGGTGGGTGGAGCCTCAACCTATGATGGCCTGGCTCTCTCTGCCCATGAAAGCGTGGTGGTGGTGACCATTCAGTACCGTCTGGGCATCTGGGGATTCTTCAGGTAAGTTTCTTGGCTCTCCTCACTGCACTTGGCTGAGGATACTAAGACCAGGGGCTTTTGCTGAGTTCCTTCAAAAAGGCATCCCAGTCTCTTCATAATTGGATACCTCTTAACTTCTCATAACCCAGACACACTTCTTCATTTGCTTCTGAGGTTCGCATATGTTCCTGCCTCTGCTTGGAATGCCTACTCTAGCTAACATACTCCTATTCATCCTGCAAAGCCCAGCCCATATAGTCCCAGTGTGAATTAGTCATCTCCTTTCACCTCTGCTGCACACTGCACATTCCTGTCAGGCCGTTTGATGTGGCACAGCAGTGAAGGAATGAGTTGCTGGAGTAGGGAGGTTGTCAGAGCATCTTAGCCCCGTGTGCCACCTTCCCTGGAGGTATCTTAGGGCCCACTCACCCCACATCCTAAACGTCCTCTCTCCATTCCTCTCCTCCCCTTTTCTTCTCTACTCTCTGCCCTGACTACACTACAGCTGTTCCCTTCAAGGTTTCCCGTGACGTCCACTCAGTCTTGGCCCAATCTTCCTTGACCCTTCAGCAGCAGCCACACAAGGCCACTCACTCCCATGACATGTTCCCTTCCCTTTTCACCTGCCACCTCTGCCCCATGTGCAGCTCTTTCTCAGCCCCTTGCTGGCCCCTACTTATACTTGTCCTTGGGCCTCTGTGTATCTCCCTCCTAGTAATTCTCAGTAATCCCAGGGGGCACTGTCAGAGCCCTGTTTTGGATATGTCTTTTTTGCATCCAGACGCCCATCACTAACCACCTTGTCTGTTCCCACTGGCTGTCTGAGATCCTCACCCTTCATAAGGACACACTCAGGCTTGTACACCCACAGTCCGTCCCTAACAGAGGCTCCCTGCTCCCCTCATGTGTCTTGCACAGTTGTGTTGCTCGATGCTTCCAGGTGTCCAGGATGGAGGCCTTGAGGGCAGCCTGGACTCTGCCCTTTCTCTCACCCCCACATCCAGAAGCCAGCAAAGCCCCTGGCTCCACCCATAAACTGTACTCAGAGTCTGGTGAGTTCACACTCCTCCCTTGCTCCCACCCCAGTTAATGCTCTCTGTCTCTGGACTGATTATTGCCATGATCACCTAATGAGTACTTTAGTCACTCTGCTAGTTTTATGCTCTGACTGATCCACACAATAGCCAGTGGGATCATTTAGACACAGATTGAGTCGTGTCATTCCTCTGCACAAAACCCCGCAGTGCCTTCCCATTTACTTACTGCAACATCCAAAGTCTGTACAGGGGCCTGCAGGGCCCTGCTGGCCACACCTCCTGCATGGTCCTACTGTTCACTGGGCCCCAGGACATTTGCACTTGCTGTTTCTTCTGCCTGGAGTTCTCTTATTTGGATGATTAAAAGGCTCATGTGTTTATTTTATAGAAGCTATTACCTAATTGCCACAGCCTCCTAGAGGCCTTTTCTGGTCATGAAATCTTAAGTAGCACCTTGCTGCCCTACCCTGTCTTGTCTCTCACCCCGTGTTTTTCTCCTTGAAAGCACTTTCACTGTCTGACATTCTATTCTGTGTTTACCCGTTTATTTGTTTGTGGTCTGGAGAATGAACTGAGTGTAAGAAATTCTCCCAGTTTTGTTCTGAGATGTGCTCCAGCTCCTAGGGCAGTGCTGGGCACGGAGTAGATGCTCTGTAAGTCACAGATGATTGAGTGCAGAGCCCACAGGACAGCAGTGCAGGGAAGGTGAGGACCCCAGTGTGAGGGGTTGGAGCCCAGCCTTATTCTGGACGACTCACTGAGAGCCCCCAGCCCCATGGGGAGCCTGAGAGCCCTGCCATGGAGTCTGCTGCCCACCTCAATCTGTTCTGTTACTCACAGCACAGGGGACGAACACAGTCCGGGGAACTGGGGTCACTTGGACCAAGTGGCCGCTCTGCGCTGGGTCCAGGACAACATTGCCAAATTCGGAGGGAACCCACGCTCTGTGACTATCTTTGGAGAGTCAGCAGGCGGTGAAAGTGTCTCTGTCCTTGTAAGTGTTCCTGGCAGCAAACCCAATCCCCGGGCTGGTGTGGCTGATGGGACCTCTCGGAGATGAGCCCAGCAGCCAAAGGCACCTTTGCTTATAGGACTTGGATTGGGGATGGGCCCTACTTATTGCCCAGCATCAGGTGGTGGAGAGCTAAGGACCAAACTCTCCTTGGCCCCCAGGAGCTCAGCACCCAGCTTTGTGTCCTCGGACCATAAGAATCTCCAGCCTCATTCTGCCATGGTGGCATCCCTCCTCTCCTTGGTGGAGCTCCCTCTCTCCTTCCCATTCCTTTTTCCATTAGGATATCTCTTGGGAAGTATGGGTGGGTACAAGTTATGAAGAAGTGGAGGCTGAGGCAAGAGTTGGACAGAGATCATTGTTTGGCTTTTGAAGCCAGATCTTCATGTCAAGGGGATGAAAGTGCTGAGGGCAGGTGGGAGCCTCCTCCAAGGTGGTCTGAGGGTTCCCTGTGGCCAAGAGGGAGGCAGCCGTCTCTGGGAGAGAGGGACAGGTAGGTGGAGAGAGAAATGGGAGATGGAAGGTGGGATGAGGAGGGAAGGGACCGAGGATGTGGGATATAGCCATAACCTGTGGCTGGGGAGACACTGAGGGAAGCTGGGATGAGAAATCAGGCTGGAAGGTGCTGGGACCTTAAAAAACCTCCCACGTGCCTTAAAGTTGAGCACAGGGTCAGCCCCATCACTGCATTTTTCAATCCTGTGTTGATTTCCTAGTTGAATACTCAGAAGAAAAAGCTTTCTTTCTTTTTTTTTTTTTTAATTAGAGAAAAATATAAAATAAATATCAACCCAAAGAAGAAAAAAGCCACCCACTGTCCCACTCCCCAGGGCCATCACTATGGCTATTTGACATGTATTTTTCTAGTCTTTTTTTGTTTTTTACCACTCACTCTGTCCGCCAACTATCATCTATCTTTTTCTTCTACAAAATAACTTCCCTTAATCAACATAAGGGATATTAATGAACAGCAATGGGAATATAACACAGTATTACATCATAGTGTAACATAAATGTTTCCCTAAACATTTAACATACCTCTGTAATATCTTTCATAATTGCACAGCATTCTATGGTAAGAATAAAAAATTGTTTATTTGCCCAGTTTCATCATATGAGAACCTTGGGTTATTTCTAATTTTTTACTTATTATAACAAACATGGGCATGCCTAGAAATATTTGTGGACCTCCATAAACACTTTCCTTGGGATAAATTCTGAGTAATGGGCATCCTGAGGCAGAAGGTGCGTTTGAGAATAGCCAAGCTTCTTCCTGATACTTTAGATTGCTGTGACCTGTGTGTGCCACACTTGTACTTTTCTGTCCTTGGCTTTATGCTCGGCTCCATTCCTCTGAGGTTCTCTGGGGGAAGCTGGGCCTGGGGGTCATGGGAAGCAGGCCTGGCCGGGGGAAGAACCCTCATGCGCACTGAGCCCTGGGGAAAGGGCCAAGGCAAAGCTGTGGGTGGACCGTCCTCTGAACATGAACTGTCCTCCTGTCCTCTCCTTTCCCAGGTTTTATCTCCCCTGGCCAAGAACCTCTTCCATCGGGCCATTTCCCAGAGTAGTGCGGCACTCGGTTATGCTCTGGTCAAGAAGGACATCAAGCTCCTGGCACAGGTAGATCTCACATGGGACTGTCCCACAGCCTTGACCCTGTGCTCCTGGCATCCTCAGGGGCCATTCCTGCCATGGGACCCAGTGGGCATTCTAAAAAAGTCACTGGCAGGAGAGTGGCTGAGCAGGGATGCCAAGGTCACCCCTCATAGAAGCTCCCAAATTTAGGGCTGAACAAAGTGAGGCAGAGTGTTGAAGCCAAGGTCCACATGGGATCAGGGCAGAGCTGGGACTCAAGGTTGCAACTCTGAATTTCCAGTGTACTCACTGCCCATGACCACAGGCCTTAGAGGTTATCAGCAAAGTGTCCTTTAAAAAGTGATCCATGCAACAGCGTGAGAAAGCTGAGCAATACTTTACTTGCTGAGCCAAGAATATTCCAGAGACAGGGAACAGCATGTGCAAATATCCTGTGGCAGGTGAAGCATCTTGAGAGGGAGAGATGGCTGGTGAGGCCAGAGTGGAGAGCAGGAGCTCTTGGGGGGCACTGAGGATAGGGGCATTGGCAGACCCTGGGAAGGATTCTGTCTTTATCTGAAGAAATCAGAGGAAGGGGTGGTGACAGGGTGGGGCTGCTGAGCTGAGTTCTTTGGAGCAAAGGGTGTGGAGCTGGTTTGGAGCAATTCAGACTTACAGGGCTGATTCACAGGTGGAGAGGAAATGGAGACACCAAGATTTTTTTTTAGACTTCTTGAGATTTTACTTTTTCCAGAATTCATTGGTTATAAGCAATAGATGCCCACTTGAGCAGGCTTGAATCAAGAAGGGGAAATTTATGTTTCAAGGGAACAGAGGCGGCAGAGATGAGGCTGGGCTTTGTAAACAGGCATCTGAAATTGCAAAATGAAAGGAATCCAAGTCTCTCCCTGCCTCTCTTTTTCTCTTTCTCCTGTATTTGTCCTACTTTCTGTTCATTTATTCAACAAATATGTTAAATAAATTGATTCTGAGCATTGATTCTGTAGCAGACACTGTCCAGGATCTGGGGCCTGCACAAGCCCCACTGCCCTGGCACCTGGGATCCCTCTGTGCCTTCCTCTCTGGCCAAACTTTGCTATCGGTTCCTTTGTCCACCCCATCTGGCCCTCACTTTAGGAATTTCCTGTGGGTTCCAGAAGGTATTCAGATCTTTGTTCCTGTTTTGGAAAATGAGCATTTCCATGTCTATAGTCCCAGCTCTCCACTCTGACCCCAGACCCCTTAAGAGAGAGGCTCACAGCCCTGGCTTTGCTTAGATGCCCCCCTTTGTGTATTAGATGAGGCCTCTCAGAAAAGTCTGGGTGATGGAGTGCAGGGCAGACCACCCCAAGCGTCCAAGGCAGGCTCAATGAGCCTCTCCTTCAGAAGGGGTTTCTTCTGACATCTTTTTCCTCCTCCTCCTTTGTCTTCCCTTTATAGCTGAGAAGAGGTTTAGGTTGGGGTCAGTGGCGCTCTGTGAATTAATAGATGCTCCTCTGAGGCTTGCCTGAGGCCAGGGGAGGACAAATCTGGGGTTAGGTTTGTATGGCCCTTGAGCTAGGAATGATGTTTGTTTTCATTTTTAAATAATTAAAACAAAAATAGGGCAAGGACGATATTTTGTGACCCATAAAAATGTTATGAAATTCAAGTTTCATTTTTTGTAAATAAAATTTTGTTGCAACACCCATTTATTTCACTCCAACAGCAGTTTAGAAATGGCAACAGAGGCCTCTTGGCCCACAAAGCCGCAAATGTGGACTGTTTGTTTTTTTGATGAAAACTTTGCCGACCTCTACCCTAGAGAGTCCTCTGATTATTGCTCAGGACGCTAGTACAGGACGGTGAGGTGGAAGCTCTTAGCTGTGCCACAGACACCTCACTCAACTGAGAAGCACCATCCATGTCCCACGGTGGACACACTGTCTTCCTTTAGAGCTCCCATTTACATCACGCTTGGTGTTTTCTGAAGTGCCTTATCTAGACCTCTTAATTCTGCACATGGTGAGTGTGTGGGAGATACGGGACCCTCCTATGCTCTTGCGAGGTGTGAACTCACGGTATACGGCAGGTGTGATCATTATGCCCATCTAAGGTGGAGAAACTGAGGCACAAAGAATTCAAATGGCTTTACTAAGGCCAAATAGCTAGTACGTGCTGGAGCTGGCAGGATTGGGGTTCCATAGTCTTATCCCCAACTCCACGCCTTCTCCCTCTTGAGACAGTCAGCTTTGATGTCACTATGCCCTTTTAACAGGGGTAAGGTAACAGAGAGGGAGCCCACACACTTATCACTCACGTCACGACTCAGGTGAGGAAGAAGGCTGCACTCTCTGGGGCCAGACCCACAGGTGCTGGTCTAGAGGACTGTGCCTCACACACTGGGCTGGGGGTAGAACTCCTCTCTCCACCTGGATGGAGGGAGGGGACATTGCTCTTGAGCTTTGTAGCCTGTGACCTTTGCAGAAAATTGCTGTCACTGCTGGATGTAAAACCACCACGTCGGCTGTCATGGTTCACTGCCTGCGCCAGAAGACAGAGGATGAGCTCTTGGATTTGACACTGAAAATGGTAGGTGGGTCCATTTTCGTGCCCCTAACCTGCAATTGTGGCCCCCTGCTTTGGCATTTCAGCTGTCCCTGTGCCCTGGATAAACTCCTTGGGACAATTTCTTACCTCTCAGGAGTTTCTGGATCTGAATGGGGAGTTTCCTTTTTCCATTTCTATTGTAACATACCTCCAATACCAAAAAACGACTAAAAATACATGAAGAAAAATTGTGTAACAATCCTCCAGCTTTATCAAACTTAATGTATGGCCATTCTTATTTTCAGATGGATTTATAAGAAATTAAACATTTCAGATTCCCAGAAGTAGCTGCTATCTTCAATTAGCGGGATGGAGATATCAGGCACAAAGATTTCAGAAAGATGTCACAACTTCTCTTGGTTGACTTAGAAACTCTAAATTAGAACCCAGTGGTGGTCCACTTCTATAGATTTTTTGGAAATTCTGCTTCACTTGTGAATGTGGGTTAGTCATCCATCTACTCATGCATTCACTCACCATTTATTAGCCATCCACTAATCTATCCAAGTCAATGATCGGTGTAGTATCAATGCTTGCATGACCCATTAATCTGTTCTCAACTCATCCATCATCCATGCATCACCGAACCTCTTTATATCTTTAGTCCATCATCTATTTCTCCAAAATCAATGTCCATCCATCACCTAACTGATCGTCATCAATCTAATTCATCCATACTCCATTAATTGAACGCCCATTTATCCATCCATCCATTCATCCATCCATCTGTCCATCCATTCATGCTACGTGTATAGAGGAGGGTGTCAGTAGAGGTGATGCAGACACAAGTTGGGCATCATGTCTGCTCTCAAGGAACTGTCTAAGGAGAAACATAATCATGTTTATAGTGAGTCATGTCATAGCTTGAGTCCAATGTGGCCTTGGGACTTGGGTGCTGGTTCATCTGGCTCCAATACGGTGACCACGGTGTTCAAAGAATTAAAACAGAGCTGGTTTATAATGACTAAAAAGAGACAAATATTTCAGCAATTTTCCACTTGCACAAGAGGCCATTGAAAATTAATGTGTGGTCAGGCACCATCCCAGGACATTCTTCTGAGATTTCCTGAGATCTTTTGGGAGTGCTTCCATAATTATTCACTGCCTTCAACACATAGACACACACACACACTGACACACATAGACACACATATTCACATCTTGTGGTGTTATGACTATAATCCATAACGGAGGAACCCTTGCTAGTCCTTCCCAGTAGAGAAGTCAACCTGTCAGCTACGGTGCAACATTGCAATCACCACAGTCTTGGTGAACACACCCCGACACTGGGTGGTGGGATGAGTTTCAGGAGGCTTATATCAGTCAAGATGTTCCTGAGCAAAATGAGAAAAATCATCTTAAATTGGCTTGAGCAGAAAAATTCATGTTGTAACAGAATCTTCAGGTAATGGAAACGTCTGGGAACAGATAGCTTCAGGCATGGCTGGATCCAGATGTTCATATGACATTATTGAGAATCTACCTATAGATAACCTCAGTTTTGCATTGGTCTGTTTGGCTTCACACTCAGGCAAGTGTGTCCCTGGGGGAAATAGAGATAACAGCACTCTGAACTTTTAGCTGCTTATAAACCTTCTTTCCTAATAATTCTGGCACAAAGTTTCTGGGTAAACTCTGCTGCACTGGCGTGGGTTAAGTTCCCATCCCTGAACTAATAACTGTGTACTGGGAGATGGGACACCCCAGATTACATATCAATATCTGGATTTATGGGATGAGAGAAGGGAAGAGGGAGGGTCCTCAAAGGAAAATTCAGATATTGTTGCCAGGAGACAAGGAAGGGAAAATGAGGGTGGGAGACCAACAGCAGATGGCCTGTCTAGAGCAAGTGCCCAGAGCCTGTTCTTCCCTGGCTGCCACTTCCCCTCCCTCATCAATACTTACCCGCTGTCCTCTCCCACATGGAACAAGTGTTCTGCCCATGTCCTCTCAGCCCTGTCCAGGTGGCAGCAGGAGGGAGCTCGTGACAGCTCTGGTGCACAGCCACACAGACCAGCTTTCTCCAGGAAGCCTCTCACCTGTGTCCTCTGCCTTTGTCTTCACAGAATTTTTTTGCAATCCATTTAAATGAAAACCCCGGAGAGGTAAGGATTTTTGTTTTCTTAATGATAGCTCCTAGACCACCCCAAAGTGTCCTAGCCATCTTCTCCTTCTGCCTCCTCAATGGGTTGCCAGAGTCCGGTGACGTCCCCTCTGCAGCATCCTACAATTCTATAGTCCTGCCCTCTCTGCTCCTCCCTGGAGATCATTCTCCTTTCCCCTTGGAGGCCTTGTGAAGATTGAATGAGCTTCATCCAGACACTCAGTGACATTTCTGTCTCTTTGCTCATGGAGTTACCACTATTTGAAAATTCTCACCTCTTCCCTCCCCTGTGAATCCCAGTCATCACCCACTGCAGGTGCTCAGCACCCCCTCCGTGTGGCCTGTCCTGTTCCCAGCTCCCCACGGCAGCCCATTCTCAGCTGCACAATCCTTCAAGGCTGCTGTGGTCACCCCGACGTCTACTCTCAGCCACCCTGGGTTGGGATCGGCGCCTTGTCCTGTTTGCTCCAGTCCACCTTGCGGACCTCCACTGTAGCTTGTGCAGACAGGCATGGGTCCCAGAAATGCCGGGTCCCAAAGAGATCAATGAGTGAGAGCCCTGCTTCCTTCTGTGACCTCTCACCCCATGTGCCCTCTCACGGTCTAGTTAGTGCCGTGGTGTTTGCGTTTTGTGCTGGGTGTCAGAGATCCCCTGTCTCAGATGGCCCCCCAGAGCAGTGCTGAGGTGCTGTCTCTCGTCCCAAAGTTCAAGGTGGCTGTGGTGTGCATTACGGGGACAATACCCGTGGCAGGCGAGTTTGCAGAGGAATGGATTGTGTGTTGGCCTTGACTTTGGAGTTAATGAATGAACAATAGGCACATCCAGGAAAGGGGGGGACTTTGCCCATCCAGACACGAGGCCATAACAGAAAGTGTTAAAATCTGCAGCGTGTGAGGAGCTATGGGGGACGGAGAAGCAGCTGCATCTGTGGATTCCCGTGATGCTGAAGGAATCTTCAGAAGGCACAGGGGACAGTGGACAGCACTGCTGTGACGCTGCCAGCCGGAAACCCTCCCAGTCCTGTACCCGGGTCGGGAGAATGGGCGGCCTTCCTGACTGGTGTTTGTTATAAATAAGCACTTCACACATAACTAATTCTTGAAATAAGTATCTATTACGTAACTTATCTTTAAACAGAAACCCACACATAAAATAAGGCTGATGAATAGATTGTGACCAGAGGGTCACAGGAACCAAACCCTGTGTTTTTCCTTCAAGTGGCAACTCAGTATTTGCTAATTCAGCATTCAGGGCAAGTTGACAGAACAGCAGCGCAGAGAATAAAGAGGTCACCTGCACACAAAGTTACACACACACTTCAAATGGAAATACCTGTATATGTAATTTACTATACGATATACATATTTCTATTTGAGTGAAGATTCACCTCCTGCTCTGTCACCTCACCTCTGCCAGCCCCTGGTTGAGTTCTATACCTGGGGTCACACAGACTTAGCCCCCTTTCCTAGGACCCCGAGCCTATGTGGCCACTGCCTAGGCCCACCAGGTGCAGGTGGGGGCCTCACCTCAGGCAGGCAGAGAGCAGCAGGTGGCTGTTGCCCGGGGAGGGCAGCTCAGACACTGCCCTGCCCTCTCCCCCAGGCTGACCTCTTCATGCCCACCGTGGTGGATGGAGTGGTGCTGCCAAAAATGCCTGAGGAGCTTCTGAAAGAAAAGAACTTCAACATGGTCCCCTACGTGGTTGGAATCAACAAGCAGGAGTTTGGCTGGATTCTTCCAATGGTGAGAATGTGCGGCCGCTTAGACGTCCCCTATGCTCCTTCAGCGCACCCGTCTCTGCTCACAGGTGTCCTTGCTTCTCTAAGCCCTGCCCGGAGTCCAGGGCAGCTGTCCCTTTCAAAATGAGGTGTAATTTCCACATAAAATTTCCCTAGAAGGCCCCTCTGTCACTTGGGTGACACAGCCCTGGGATTCTCTGCCCCAAACACTCTTTGATGTCTTCTAGTGAAAGATTCTCTACCAAAAATAGAATAACTAGCCACATGTGGTGACTGTAGTCCCAGCTGTAGCCCGAGGCAAGAGGATGACTAGAACCAAGGAGTTTGAGGTTTCTCTGAGCTAGGCTGATGCCACTGCACTCTGTACTCTGCTCAGGGCAAGAGATTAAGATTCTGGAGAGAGAGAGAGAGACTGACCACTAAACGTGCAGGAAGACTTTCCTTCCTGTCGCAGATAAACAAAGCCACCCCAGTTAGAGCAGAAACACAGGTTTCATTCAGGAACACTCTTCAGTAGGGGAAAGAGCTCAGGGTGGACTCAACCCAAGTCCCTGAAACTAAAGCCTGCAGGTGCCTAAAGCCTGGGGGAGCTAAGGGAAAGGCACCGTGGGGTGGGCATGGGGGGACATTAGAGTGTGAGCTAGACCACCTGGATCTGCTGGCCCACACTTGCTTGGGAGAAGCAGGAGGCTGTGGTGTCAGCTGCAGTCAGGACCCCTCTGATGTCAGGCTTCACCTCTCCAGGGGACTGGAGGGAGACTGCAATTACCTCCCTGCAGGTTTGCACTGTAAAGAGAGGCTTTAGGCCCTGGAGGAAACAGATTTCAGTGGAAGCTTTAGATCCCACAGGGCACAGAAAGGCCTTGTAATTAGAAGGTTTCTAAAGTAACTGCTGTTAGAACAATTTTAGGGCCTCTCTGCCTGTCACCAGGTTTTGACTGAAGCAAACAGTAAATTCTCCTGGCAGGGCTGAGCTTCCTCAGGCAGGCATTTTTAGGGGGCAGGGGCCCTTCTAGGGTTATGACCTTAAGCTATAGAAGACATACTAGGGCTTCAGTAAGCCTCTGAGCCCAGAGGTTTGGACAGAGTCGTTATGTGCTGAGATCTGCAGCTCTCCTTTCAGAAAGACGTCACACATTATGCCAAAGGAGCAAAGCCAGGGTGGCAATATCTGGGACTTTCTATGTCATGTGTGAGAGGTGGCATACTTGTTAGGTCTACGTCATCTGCCCCAGGGCCCTTGACTTCAAAGAACCTGCTAAAGCTTCCCTCTGTGTGCTGCTGACTATTGTGGGGATTCTAGCCTGATGAGGGCATGAACACTCATACACAAACACACACATACATATTACACACACACACACACATATATGCACACGTGCTGCAAAAAACTCACACACTTCCCGCTAATTTTTTAAAATCTTTTTTATAATGCTTGAATTTCTGAATGTGAGTCCATTTGATTCATTGATTTCTCCCATCTATAAAGGCCTTGCTTTTCAAGGCCCAATGAAATCAGACGGTGTGGGTTTTGTTGGTTGTTCAGGCTGGCTCTGGTTCATTCATGATGATTCATAAACACTAAACCAATTTTTTTTCCTAGTAGATGTTGGGTTTCCCACTTTCTGAAGGCAAACTGGACCAGAAGACGGCCACGTCACTGCTGTGGAAGTTCTACCCTATTACTGTAAGAGTCTAAGAATCCTGGGAATGGACTGGGACACAAGGAGGGGAGGGACATGTCCTGACTCACAGATGATTTAAGCGTCAGAATGCAGGTTAGGACTTGGGGGTTCTGCCCACATTTTTCTACTTTCCCCACTTGATCACACTAGGGGTGAGTGCAGGGGAGTTGCACAGAGCTGGAGAGGTTCCCCCTTAATAAAGCCTTTCTCTCTGGCCAGAGATGACATGTGCTCACCGTGTGGTTGTGGTCACTTTCTTGATCTATTGCAGGGCATCCCTGAGGAACTGACTTCAGTAGCCATTGAGAAGTATTTAGGGGGAACAGATGACCCTGTCAAAAAGAAAGACCTGTTCCTGGACTTGACTGCTGATGTCGTAATTGGGGTCCCATCTGTGAATGTAGCTCGATACCACAGAGGTAAGTCCCTGAAGTTGGACAGGAGAGGGACACCAACCCCACCAGCTCCAGTGTCTGACCTGCCCACCTCCCAGCACAGACAGATGTGGAAAGTGCTGAGCGTCCAGCCTCACAGGCAGATTCCATATGGCCTAGGGTGTGGTGCTGTCCTCTGTTGGCTTCTGCCTGCGGCAGCCTCTGAAAAAATGATCCGGATGCACCTAGTTTACTTGTCAGGTGATCCCAGAAAGCACCAGCATGGAGGTGTGGAAGTGTCAGAGGAAAGGGACAGAAGACACTCCATGACACTGCCAAGCGGTGTCCTCTGTGCACAGAAGGGGCTGGGGAGCTCTGGGAACACGCAGAGGACACAACTCAGGGTTACCCCTTCTGAGCAGCTCTCAGTTGTCATTGGCTGAGGAGGTTCCAAGGATTTGTAAACTCCCTGGTAGTCTGACCTGCTGACCTACTGCACACCTGAGCAGGTTAGTGTCTGGTGCTGACAGAGACCCCAGGCAAAGAGCTAGAGAGGCTGGAGGTGGACGTCAGGCTGAAAGAGACACTCAGAAAGAGGGGATCTGGGTGATGTGGGTGAGGAACCATCAACATCTGAGACAAGGGCTCCCTACTTGGGGTTTTGTTGGGATGTGGGGGTAGAAGACAAATATTGGAATATGGGTTTTGGAAGCTTTCTAAGATCAGAACTTAGAAGCTAGTTGGTGAAGCTGGAGGAAGAGCAGGAGTCAAGCACAGTATCAAGGTGGCTGTTCAGGACCAAGAAGTCCCAGAGGAGGGAGAGTAGTGGGGATGGCTGGTCTGGAGATGTCAGTGTCTGTGAATGGCTTTGGTCCTTCCTGTTGTGTGCCAGAATGGACAAGCAGAGGTCCAGGGTGGATTCTATGGTGGGACGTTTTGACACTGCTCTGTGTGTGTTTGGTGTGAGGTAGGGATGCATGAGCTCACCTGGGGGTGGGGGAGTGTCCTCTTCTGGTGCCATCTGGGTACCCTCTCAGACGTTCCTTTTTCTTCCAGCTCTCATTTGCCTCTGAAATCCAGGAAAGGGTCTTTGGCCCAGACCTTTCTCTCTGAACAGGCTGGGAGAGTTCAAATATTCAGGACATCATATGTATGCTAAAAACTAGCTTCAGCTGACCTAGTAGGTGCCCAGGGATACTGCTATTCAGGAAGGCAGAGGCGCTCATAACCACTTCCTCCTCTGGAGGTTTCTCGTGGAACCTTCAGCCAGGCCCACCTAGAGTTGCATCTTTTTTTTATAAACTTGATTTTGCCTCTTGCCTTGTGTCTGATCTGTGAAGCTCTCTTCTGCATGTTCTACTGGTTCTGGCTATACTGGACTTGTGGGTTTTTTTTTTTTAATCTGATATTTCATTACTTTGAGTTTTGGGAGGGTTTGCCAGGACTATATAGATACTTCCAACAATTTTTTGTTTTTTTTTAAGTTTTTCTCACTCCTTTTAATAAAGGTAACTTTTCTGAATGTAAAAATCAATATATTACACTTGCAGAAAGTTTAGAAAATATGAAAACAAAGAAGAAACCAGATATCAATCTTAATTCCTTCACATGGGGGTATGTGGTATAATTTTTTCTGTATTTCCTTCTAATAATTTTTCCATGTCATATATAACTTAAAAATCAATTATATGTTTTTTCCTGTTCCTAGAACACTGTATTGTGAGGGTTTTCTTGATTTTGAGGCAAACCCATCAAAAACATCCATTTTTCCACAAATGGATAATTAAAATTTAGTTGAATATTCCTATCCTATGGAATATTTAGGTGGGCAGCTTGTTATATGAGGCTACAAATATTATTACACTGACTTTTACTTGCACAAATATTTAACCACACGTCTAATAATTTTCTTAGGATTTTTTTTAGATGTGATATCATCAGTTGACTCATAGTAACATATTTATTTATTTATTTATTTATTTTATTGAATGGTAACTATGTACATTAATGCACTTCTGGGGTACAGTGTAGGGTTTTCACAAGCAATCTGAAATACTTCCATCAAACTGCTCAACACAGCCTTCATGTCATTTTCTCAGTTATTGCTTTAAAACGTTCACATTCTACTCTTAGAAAGATTCACCTGTACCCCTATAAGATAAATCTCAGAAGTGATCCCTCCAAACCCCCTCCCTCCACCCATTCCCTCCTCCCTTCTCCCTCCCCCCTCATAGTAACATATTTAAAGCGCTGATGCATATTGCAAAATTGCTTACTAGTATATAGGGGCATAGATTTCTCAATTCCCTTTCTCAGCTAGGATACTAAGATTAAAAATTAAAAGAATGCTGGCATCTCAAAAGCCCTCCCCAGCAGGAAAGCAGGATATTACCCTATGTTTTACTTTGCATACCTTCGATTTCTGGCTCTCTCATTGTCTCTGCTTTTCTTGTTTTTCCTAATTGTTATTGCCCAAATATGCACCCTGTTTTCTTTTGTGATTGTAGGAGTTTTATGAATCTCAGTGATTTTAGGCACAAATTTTAAAATATATATATATTTATGTATATATATATACACATCTATCTTTTGGGAAGCATACTGCCTAAAATAATTTCCCTCATTCATAAAAGTTCTTTTCTCCTTGGTTGGTCTCTGAGTCCTTTTGTAAAGCATTTGGGCAGAGGCAAGGTCAAACCCTCCTTTGAGCAAGTTCCGCTTGACCACGAAGCAGCCATTTAACCAGAGCATCACAGACCACAGAAGGGTGGCCTGTTCCAGACAATGATCTTGTTAGACCAAGGGTACAGTGATGGAGGACAAGGGGGATGATTAAATAAGTTATTCTTCATCCTCACATTGGATGACCTATATTGGTAATTTTTTTGTTGTTGTTGATGAATATTTAATGATGTTAAGAAAGGATTACAATATGTTACAAAATAACTCATATAGTATCATCCAAATTTATGTAAGAGGAAGATAGGGCACAATATAGAAAGAGCCTTTCTCTAAGAGGTTGGATTGTGAGTGATGTTCTTATTCATTTTTCCTTTTTTCTGCATTTTCCAAATTTCTTACTGAATCCAAGAGGGGACAGGTTGTAAAATTTCTCCACCAGTCTTACTTGGGGCCTAGCTCTTTCCCTCTTAGGGTCCCTCCTCTGGGGACATTATGACCAATGCAAAGCGCCGGCCTAGAGGACTGGTGGTCCCATGAGTTACCCCTAATGGAGCTGGGCCTGGTGGCTCCAATGACCCAATCAGTAGGAAAACTGTCATCTCCTCGGGGCTTGGACAAGTGGGCTTTGGTGGTGAGAGAGAAAGGCAGAGGAGGGGAGTACAGCAGTCAGGACAAAGGTAAGGTCACATTCCATGTCCCCTTCTCATCTTTGCCACCACCTTAATGCCTTAAAGCTTTAACATTCTGTGGGCCAAGCAGGAAGCAAAATATATGTGGAGACAGTGAAATATGAAGCTCTGAGTTTTGTGGTTTCCTGAGAAACAGGAGACAGATTGTTCTCTCTCTTCCTGTGTTTGGATGTAAATATCCTCATTTTATTTTTTTATTATTTTTTTGTCATTGTTGAGACAGAGTCTCACTATGTAGCCCTTGGTAGAGTGCTGTGGCATCACAGCTTACAGCAACCTCAAACTCTTGGGCTTAAGCGATTCTCTTGCCTCAGCCTCCCAAGTAGCTGGGACTATAGGCGCCTGCCACAACACCTCGCTATTTTTGTTGCAGTTGTCATTGTTGTTTTTAGCTGGCCAGGCTGGGTTCGAACCCGCCACCCTTGGTGTACATGGCTGACATCATAACCATTGTGCTATGGGCACCAAGCCAATATAATTGTTTTAGATAAGCAAGTTGGATAGGCTTCACTCATCTCAGAAATGAGTGAAAAAATAATCCACTGGGAATGATTGAAAACTAGGCTGGATACAAGACACCCAATAGGGTGTATGTGTTCTCCAGTGAATGAACACTAGTGTGTGTGTTATCAGTGAAGGGGAGCAGTGTAAAGTGAATGTAAAGAGATTTTCACATGTGTGAATGTGTCAGAAGACGATGAGACCCAAAGTCCTTATAATGATAGCTTTTCTAAATTGATCAACCTGGGGTTTTAACAATCACTTATTCGATATTCATTTATTCATTCATTCATTCACTCCTTCAACAAATACCTGGCTCAAATCTCAGAGCCTCCTTAATTACTTATGAAGCCCCAAGTAAGTCACTGCAAGTCACTGAGCTTTCCTGAAAAGGTCTCTCAACTGTGCTGATAACCAGGGGTTTCCGTCATGGCCGTGGGCCTTGATACCATCCAAGGGTGTGTCTGTTAACGTGAACTGTGCATGAATCCATGTCTTCTCAGATGCTGGAGCCCCCACCTACATGTATGAGTTTCAGTACCGCCCAAGCTTCTCCTCAAACACGAAACCCGACACGGTGACAGGGGACCATGGGGATGAGCTCTTCTCTGTGTTTGGAGCCCCATTTTTAAAAGGTAAAGGCTCTTTGCTGGCTGTGAGTGTGGAGCTAGTAGATCTGGGCTTCAGTCACGGAATGGGGTTCAGGTTTGGTTTGGAGGCCTTGAACAAGTTTCTCCGTTTCTCCTGCCTGAGTTTCCCAATTCACTGTAACAGGGTTGAATTTCACTGGTCCATCCTCAGCCTCCCTCCTGTTCTCACAGACACGAAGGAGGATGTACATGCATGTGACCTCAGCCCAGGTCACTCTCAGAATCCTGGCCTATGCCACCAGTAAGGCAGGTCCTTGGTCACATGCAGGGCCCTGCTCTAGGGCCAGAATGCCACCACTCAATTTTTCTCTCATAAGAGCATATCAGAATGTAAGCGAGGAAAATTTTTGGTTTTAACCTTGAATTGGGTCTAATGTGTGTTCATCTGTCTTTATCTCTGCCTGTCTCTTGTTATAAAAAACACACATTTTTAAGTAAAAAATATTAAATATCATAACATTTTAAAGAAAACCTTTTATAGATGCCTTCAATACCTTAACTCTTAGTAGTAAGGGATGATTTGTGACCCACCTCATGGTTGTTCATGTTACCCCAGGGCCTCTGGGCCTCTGTCAGTTGGGTGATTACTTAGGACCATTGCAGCTCTGTTATTTTGCAGACTAAGAAAATGTGGGTATGTGTAGGAGACTGAGAAGAGATCCAAGAGAGAACAACCCTGGGAGGTGGGGCTGCTGGAAGGAGGCTCTGGGGTTTAGCACTGGGACCCTGAATGGGGAGAAGAGGGGGGAGGTCACAGCACAGAAGGCAGCCAGCATATGGATTGGCTGAACACCCATTACTGAGTCCTCCTTGACCTTACGATGTACAGTAATTGATGAGAATCTTCTAAAAATGTAGATTTTGGTGTACTGTTGGTGGACTTGTCACTAAGAGTCTGTGTTTGTAACAAGCCCCAAGTGATGTTAACTCTGGTGGCCCATTAACAAAACTTTGAATAATGACATCTTGTTTTCTTGTTCCCACAGAGGGGGCTTCTGAGGAGGAGATCAGAATTAGCAAGATGGTGATGAAATTCTGGGCCAACTTTGCTCGGAACGGGTAAGGCTGATGGCAAAGGTGGGGCACGGTCTGTGGGGGGCAGGGCACATCTATGGGGAAAGACAGCTTCTGAAGTTTGAATGATCAAGCTCTCCACCCTGTGACCACAGATCTGTCTGAAGTAAACAGGCTGCCCCAGGAGGTGGTCAGCTCCCTGTCTCTGCAGGTGTACAAGCCAGAGATGAGCCAGGAGACCCCTGCAAATCTTGGAGGAGTGCTGGGGACACACAGCAGCTTTAAGGGGTTTCTATCTGATTCTGTTCCCAGGAACCCCAATGGGGAGGGACTGCCCCACTGGCCAGAGTATGACCAGAAGGAAGGGTACCTGCAGATTGGTGTCACCACCCAGGCAGCCCAGAAGCTGAAGGATGAGGAAGTGGCTTTCTGGAACAAGCTCCTGGCCACAAAGGCTGTGGTGAAGCCACCTCAGAGAGAGCACATTGAGTTGTGAACAGGAGGCCTCACCAGCCACCAGAGGCTGAAGGAGCCACTTCAGGGGTGTTCTACAGATGGTGACTATAGGTCAGAGAGGCATCTCATTGTGGAGTCTGGGGAATTGTCCATGGGGGGGTGGGGTGGGAGCAGTTTTTGCAGTTGTGACCTCAATTGTCAGAATAAAAGTCTTTTGGAGGCTAAATCAGTGTTTGTGTCTCAGAGTAGAGATGAATGCACCCTCCCCATAGATAGCAGGATGAAAATGGACCCGTGAATAGGATGGATTGGCCTCCAAACAAACTGCACCCAGCAGCCTGGCCTGGGAGATGTAATAAGGACTCTGGACATGCCCCTGTCTCTGAATCACCAACAACTTCCAATAGCAGAGTTTGGGACGGCTGGAGTACAGCCTTCCTCCCTCAGTCTGGAGTCATCTGTGGAGATGGGTAGCACGGGCTGAGTATGAAGCTGGATCAGGTGAAGAGGGAGAGGTGCTTCAGTGACCCTGTGCAGAGTCACATGGACTTCCTGACCCTCTCCTGAGAAAAGAACAAAGTGAGTGGAGGAAAAAGCCAAATAGGACATAGCATCTAAGACCTGTGGGGTAATATCTGATGGTCCAACATATGTATAAATAATGAAAGGCATCAAAGTACGGGTCTGCAGTACCGTCCTAAACATATACAGTAACCCCAGATCCCCATGGGGCTAATTCTTCCAGAAACTGGAAGAAACTTCTCTGTAGTCTGGAGTTCTCCAAGTCTAGGCAGTGACCACCTTGATATATGGCCCTGAAGTGTCATTGTAAATTTATTTCTTTCTGAATCTCTCTGGTGATACTTGGATCCTTCTGGGTTATAGAAATATTGGGAGTGTCACTTCTATTCTAAAAGAAAGAAAAGGCTAGGTTGTCTTTCTAATCATAAGTATTCCTGAAAAAAAAAATCACTGAAATTGCAAAAAATGATTATACTGGAATGGAAGGGAAGACAGGCACTTTCGAGGAGAAGTAGATGTGAACACTGGCTTCACTTCCACCTACAGGCAGAGACAGGTTCACTATCTTTCACAGAATTATTCTAAAAATTGTAATCAAGTGATAAAGGCCAAGTGTGGGCCAGTATGTGAGTATAAAATCCCTGGGAACCATAGACCCAGTGGGAAATTTATACCCATCACAGACTCCTTTCCTCCACCTTTATTAGGGTCTGATGAGAAATATTAGGATCAGCTGGCAAAACTGGAGAAACCCTGCCTCCAAGGATGCAGCCCAGATCCCTGCTCAGATCCTTCTCTCCCAAAGAATAATCTCCTTCAACCACCGGGAAAAGACCAGCAAATCTTGTCTCCCACAAGGCACTGGTAAAGACTTATTGCATCCTGAGAACAGGAAAACTTAAAATCCCCTGGTAGAGGGACAGCCAGTCAACCTGGGTCCCAATTACTGGTCTTTCATATTCCTCACTAGGAAACGGAAGATTACTGAGAAAGTCCCATCTCCAAAACTGAGAAACACAGAGCCATCCCATGAGGCTAGACCAAGACAAAGAAAACACCCCTGGCTGCCAACAGAGTAATCAAGTACCCAGTAGCAGAAATCTACTGATCAGGGAGGGAGAAAGTATGTAAAGATACCCTTTCTGAAGAACAGGTGCAGAGCAGGCTTAAAGCTGAAGGTCAAACAAGATATTTAGAAAACCCTTCAGAAAACCCGCCTTTACACAAGCACACAAGACCAAGGGCAAATGCAAAGTAACCCTAGAATTTGGAGTACATAGTCCACTGAAGGTAACCATAGCAATAAGAAAACCCAAGCCCTGCTCATGTCCTCACTATGTGGATTCAACGACATAAACACACACCTGCACACACACACATCCGCAGGGACAAGTGGACTGTTTGTCCAGCAAAAGAAAAGACATGCCTATTTCCAGTCATAAATACTTACCTAATACTAGGTAAGTTTCTAGTCTCTTAACTGTGATGCATTAAGTTCAAAGTTGTAAATGCAGAAAAAGCAAGAAAAAAAAAACATTAACCATAGAGAAAGCAATTAACAGGACCCCACTTACAGATAACATAGGGGTTAGAACTAACAGACTAGAGATTTAAAATGATGGCATAGAAAAATATGTAATTTCAGCAGAGAGGTAGAAACTATAAGAAAGAAGCAAATGGAAATGTTTGAAATGAGAAAAAACTAGTAGCAGAAATAAAGAATGCCCCTAAAGAATTCAGAGGTAAACCTGACACAGCCAAGGGAAGAATGAGTGGACTGGAATGTAGGTCAGCATGAATTACCCGACTTACAGAAGAAGAAAAAATGAGTGGAGGAAAATGCCAAACAGGGCATAGCATCCAAGACCAGTGGGGTCATATTTAATGGTCCAACATACGTAAAACTGGAATCTGAGAAAGGAAAGAGAAAAAGAGCAGGCAGAAAAAAAAACTGTGAAAACATAATGGCTGAGAATTTTCAAAAAATAATGAAAGATACCAAAGTATAGATCAGAGAGTTTCACAGAACCCCAAGTAGGATTAAACAACAACATCAACATACATGTTTAGACACATAATGAGAAAATATGAAGGGAACAGACTTTACTTACACAGAAATAAAGAAAATCATTATAGCAGATTTCTTGTACACTTTGCAAACAAACAAATAAAAGAAAGAGAACATCTTTAAAGTGCCCAAAGAAAAAGTCTTCCAACTAAGAATTCTATATCTAAAAAAATATTTCTCTGAAATAGAGAAGGAAAAAGATTTTTTTAGACAAGCAACTTTGAGTATTTATGATTAGCATACCTGTGCTACAAGAAAAAGGAAAGGAAGTTATTCGGGCACAAGTTATTATATATGATACCAGAAAAAATTGTGTCTGCTTGTATACTAAAGAAGTGAACGCTACAGAAATATTTGAAGAAAAGGTAAGACATTTTTTCTTATATTAAATTGCTGTCTATAGCAAAAATAGTACCAATGAACTGTGGGTTTATATATAATAGCAAAATAATGACAAAAAATAACAAAAAAAAAAGTAAAATAGGAATTTAAACCTCACTGTTGTAAGGTTCTTATACTTTTTGTAATTGGTATTATATTATTTGAATGTATAATGTAATGTATATTGTATATTCAGGAAAACCAGTAAAGACTTTTAAAAAGAGATAAGGACAATAACCCCCCAAAGAGATATGAACATTAACACTAGTAAAGATTAAATAGGATAATAGACAATAATCCTAAAGCAAGCAGACAAAAGGAAAAAGGAACAAAGAACTCATTAACAAATTTTATTTTTTTCTCTCTTTTTTTAATTGTTGGGAATTCACTGAGGGTACAAAGTACCAGGTTATACTGATTGCATTTGTTAGGTAAAGTCCCTCTTATAATTGTGTACCACTTCCAAGAGGTGTGTCACACACTGTGATCCCCCAAACCCCTCTCTCCTTCCCTCTCTCTGCTCCCCCACTCCCCACCATGTACTAGGTTATCAATTGTCCTCATATCAGAATTGAGTACATTGGATTCTTGCTTCTCTAATCTTGTGATGCTTTATTAAGAAGAATATGTTTCAGCTACAACCAGATTAATACAAAAGGTGTAAAGTCTCCATCTTTTTTTAGTGGCTCAATAGTATTGCATGGTACATATTTACCACAGCTTGTTAATCCATTCCTAGATTGGTGGGCATTTAGGTTGTTTCCACAGTTTGGCGATTGTAAATTGAGGTGCGATAAACAGTCTAGTGCAAATGTCCTTATGATAAAATGATTTTTTTTTTCTTCTGGGTAGATGCACAGTAATGGGATTGCAGGACCAAATGGGAGATCTAGTTTGAGTTCCTTGAGGAGTCTTTATACTTTCTTCCAAAAAGGTTGTACTAGTTGGCAGTCCCACCAGCAGTGTAAAAGTGTTCCCCTCACTCCACATCCACACCAGCATCTGCAGCTTTCAGATTTTGTGATGTGGGCCATTCTCACTGGGGTTAGGTGATATCTTAGGATGGTTTTCATTTGCATTTCCCTGATAATTAAAGATGATGAGCATTTTTTTTGTGTGTTTGTTAGCCATTCGTCTATCTTTAGAGAAGGTTCCATTTGGCTCTCTTGCCCATTGATATAAGGGATTGTTGTCTTTTTTCATGTTGATTAATTTGAGTTCTCTGTAGATCTTAGTTATCAAGGTTTTGTCTGATTCATAATATGCAAAATATCTTTTCCCATTCTTTGGTTGTCTTCTTAGTTGTACAGAAGCTATTCAATTTAATCAAGACTCATTTATTTTTCTTGCTGTTGCAATTGCCACTGAAATAGTCATAAAATCTTTCCCCAGACTGATAACTTCAAGTGTTTTCCCCACAGTTTCTTTGAGGACTTTTATTGTTTCACACCTTAGATTCAGATCTTTTATCCATCTTGAAGCAATTTTATGGGTGGAGAAAGATGTGGGTCCAGTTTCAGTCTTTTACATGTGGAGACTTATCCAGTTCTCCTAGCATTGAAAAGGGATTCTTTCCCTCAGTGTATGTTCTTGTTTGGCTTATCAAAGATTAGGTGACTGTAAGGTGTTAGTTTCATTTCATGGTTCTCTATTCTATTCCAGATGTCTATGTCTGTATTTTTGTACCAATACCATGCTGTTTGGATCACTATGGCCTTGTATTATACTCTTAAGTCAGGTAGGCTGATGCCTCTGGCTTTGTTTCCATTACTAAGAATTGCCTTGGCTATATGGAGTTTTTTGTGGTTCCGTACAAAATTAAGAATTATTTTTTCCAAATCTTGGAAATATAATGTTGGTATTTTAATGGGTATTGCTTTGAATCTGTAGATTGCTTTGGGAAGTGGAATCATTTTAACAATGTTGATTCTTCCCAACCATGAGCATGCTATGTTCTGCCATTTGTTAACATCTTCTCTATTTCTTTTCTTAGCATTTCATAATTTTCTTTATAGAGGTCCTTCATGGCTTTTGTTAGGTATATTCCTAGGTATTTCATTTTCTTTGAAGCTACTGTGAAGGGAATTGTGTGCTTCATTAGCTTCTCAAATTGCTTGTTATTGGCATATGCAAAAGCTACTGGTTTGTGGACATTGATTTTATATCCTGAGACATTACTGTATTTTTTGATCACTTTCAGGAGTCTTGGGGATTCACTAAATATAA